GGTCAGTTGCCGGGCAGAGGCCTGCTGTGGGCTTGGGGAGGCTCACTACAGCTGCTTGGAAATCTGAACTACTTGGACCATGGAGCTGCTATAGGAACTACTAAAGGTCAGGAGATGACTAAAGTGCGGTCATGTGAAAACTGTTAAACTAATAAAGTTCAATCAAAACCCTCTGGAATACTAAAAAACTAATGACAACCGAGCTTAAAACATGACAAGAATTTCTTGGTTATTGTGGAAATAGAAGCTTACAGCAGGAGAGTAGAAGGATAGTTCAGGAATATTTCAGTCACACAGGGTACAGGTGGTTGAGAAGAGGACCATAGTAGAAATGGGCAGGAGCTTAAAGATGATCTTACAGGCAGACAGATGATCTCAAGTGAAAGTACAGGTACTCCCATTAAAAATGACTCACTTTAAGGTGTGATTAGTACTAACTATGAAAGTAATGTTGATGTTGGAGTTGGTAGTACATACATTTTCACCTACAGTATGTGCAACTTATTCAATGTGCTTGTGGAGGTTAGAAAATGAGTTTTACAAGAGGACGTCTCAGTGTTTTTCACAGCAAGTACTTCATCATGTAAATGTTGTTGTTTTTTTTTAGATTTTGGTATCAAAAGTGGCCAAATATGTCCACGGATTGTCACTGGAGGCTCTTGTTCTGTGTTTTACTCCATCATCATCATCACATTGTGGTCAAAAGAGTGCATTACTGGCTCAATAATATACTCAAGTAAAGAAAAGAAGAACAGTTTTTAAAAAAGAACATGAGTAGTACATTAAAAAATAAATAAATACTTCTTTACTCATGTGCATTACTTGTAATCCGTTACTACTCACCCCTATGGGTGTTTTTAGTATACTCATTTTATTATACACTGGTGAATGTTCTGCTGTCAAGGAGAGCAAAGCACACAAGGGAATGGGATGACCACTCGGCCAGCCTTACACACCTGTTCAAGTGAGTAAAAACCTCTAAATAAACTTGTAATCTCTGTAAACTGCAGCAGGTAGTTTAGATGGAAAAATGAAACATTGTGGCTCATAATATAAAAAGACTGTATGAACCAGCTTGGTCTGGAAATTCTTAGTCAGTGCAGCTAAAACAACAGCTTGTCACATTTTATCATATGTTATCATATATTTATTTAAATGTAGTTCCACATCAATTATATCTTGAAGACGATCTTCTATATTATCTGCTGTTATATTGATATAAAGCACAATCCAATAGTGACACATAGTCATATTAACAATAAATGAGTATAATAATATAACAAATTAATGTAGAATTAAGCAAAATTATTTTATATGCACTATATTGTATTTGTGCCACAACTCTTTTGTTGTATTTCTATTATAATCTTATAAATTACATTGTCATTCATTTCTTAACTCCAGTGATGAGACACAAATAGCAGAATTTGGGCAAAGTGTCTACACACTTCTTCCTGAAAAAAAAAAATATATATATGCCTTTAAACCCCATAAAGCCATTGCCTTAAGAGGCAGATTAAATTTTAACTTTGTGTCTGGCAGCTTGTGGCCAAAGAGAAGCTGGGGAATCAGTATAATCGCTCTGCCCAGACAATCACCCAAGTGTTTCGACAAAAGATGCCACCACTGTTTAGTGTCTGATAGGAGACACCTATTGCCACCCAGGGCTGACAAACCCACACAAGCACACACGTACTGTGGGACTGTGGGTAAAGACATTGAAGGTTTTCTTGTCAAAAACAAAACATTAAGTAACAACTGCCTTTAGTAAAGGACACCTACTTGAAATGAAAAGTTTGCTGTTTGATTTTTTGAACTGCTGAACCTGCAGTTACTGATTTCTTAACACTTGGGGGAATAATAAACAAGTTGTGAACACAACATATATATATATATAAATAACAATACTATATTCACACTCTACATACGCTCTTTTAGGTCTGTTTTTGGTTGTTACAAAGTCAAACATCTCTTTGGCTGCTAAATGCTCTACTATGTTCACCAGTTAGTCACTAACTGTCTGCTGTTTGGTGCTGAGCAGGCAGTGTACAGTGATTTTTTGCTGAAAGCAGCAGCAGCAAGCAACTGTTTTCAGCTAAACCACACAAACCATACTATGAGAACGGTGATAGTGAAGCAAGTGGGCTGGAAAGCTAAATAATGAGTTGAAACTCTATATAAAGCACACTAAAGGCTTTAAGGAGAGAAGCTGCACATTCAGGTGATAATTCTCTATACGTTCATCACTATGAGCGTCTCTTTCACCCTATCAAATTGTTTTTACATTTTTGCTGAATCATTTCCCTGCAATTTCTATAAAAATCCTCAGCTGAGGTTATGACATTTATGTATGTATCTAATGAGGAGGTAAGTTTCTTACACTTTTTTACAATAACAACTAAATGTGACACTTGGTGGTAAACACTGGACTACCTGCTGTGAAGGCAACCTCTTACAAATAGCTGCATGACCCCCCCAAAAATTCCTGTTCCAAGTTGTGAAATGCCACCCTCTCTGCATAGCCTTACACCCTCCAGACACCTCCACTCCAAAAGAAACTTGCATGGTAAGAAGAACACTGACAGCCTTGATATAGCTGATAATGACCCAGCACGCATGCTTGCACACACAATATCACATGCAAACATGCACAGAAACTCCACTTTTCCGTTTCTCCTGCAGATGACAGGCAGGCGTTTGGAACATGATCCCTCCCTATTTTGTGGCTGGCTGCACAGAGCAGCGCTGAGGCCTGGCAAGTCATAAAGATGTCAGCCAAACGCTTAGACTCCTAATCAGGTCATCAGTGGAGGCTTGTAAGAGGTGATGGCTACAGACACACTGCTGTTTTCATCACTATTCTTCCCGTTGCAGCACTGACTTTGTGTTTTAGACTCATGCTGGAACACGATATTTGTCAAACTGTAGAGTATACACTCCCTAACACCCTGCTAATGCAGATTCTGTGCAGCAGCAGAAAACACGATTTGAAATGCAGATTTCTGTTGGCTGAAGTGTTGTCCTCAGTTCACAGAGCTCGGGGAAAAATTGGAGGGACAAATACTGCTCACTGAGATGTCAAAGTCTATTCCAACTTGGGGCCTCAGAATCGTAAAGTTCAGGGTAAGACAGAACATAACTACACATTTGATATCAGAGGCCTGATTTAAATTTTGTAATCTAAAAATATGATAACATTTTTTCTGAAAAATCACCATCTCGGCTTTTATCTTCAGGATCAGTAGTATTGCTCCATGGATAGCAACACAGCCTGAGATCTGGGGCACATTGGTACATTTGGGTGTTCTATCTGAATGATGTTTAAGTTGCTTTAAGCAATCTTTGACAGTTGGAGGGCAGACAGGAGTCCATATCAACCTCACAGCACCAGAATCTTGACATACAATGACTGCCTGTGGCTGATGTGTTCTCAAACAACTGCTTACTTCTTTACACATCCAGACACAGAGGAACATGGACAGTCCTTTGGAGACTTACTTCTTGCCATTTGACTAATCTAAGTCTGATATTTTCTCACCTTTCAGCCCTGCTTTGGTTCACAGATTCCTGCTACACACTCTCTTCAACAGTGCATTTACCCCAGCTCTCTGCTATTTTATAAATGAAAGGCAGTACATATGCATTCGAGCGTAGTTGCCAGGAGTGGCTGCCTATAGCTTTATATGGGGGCACAGAGTCAACAATGCTGACTGGTGAATCAAAATAATGAACTTTAAACAAGTTCTTGGCTTGTTCATTTACATAAACCTTTATAGATTTTAATGGGGAACTATTTGTGTTTGTTGCACTAGATGCATTGGAAGTTAAGCAAAAATGTGCAAAATTCTCTCTTTTTTAAATTACTTTTAAAGTTTTAATCAATGCACATTCAGCGTTTAATAAATGGTTGCGAGAATTAATAGTTTTTCTTTCACAACACACCATTCTTTCTTAGCTCATCGTTCTTTCAGGATGATTGAAGAACTAACAGTGAAAAGAGGTAGCTAAGACACAAAAAAGACAATGAGTGTGGAGAGGTATAGGAGAAAAGGGCAATGGGGAATAAACAAAACATTAAGTAACAAATCAAGGCAGAGGAAAAAGCCAGAAGATGTTAGACAAAAACACATTTTAAACACAATTCGTACCAGGACATTCACCGCTGGCCTTGGTGGATACTAATAATATACACTACCGTTCAAAAGTTTGGGGTC